TTTTTTTTTTTTTTTTTTTTTTTTTTTTTTTTTTTTTTTTTTTTTTTTTTTTGCGCAGAGCAAGTGAGTGAGCCTTCCATCAAAGCAGTTAAATCCCTCCTACGTTTACCAGCACACTCAGAGGCTGTGCTCCTCATGTCTGCAGGTTGCCCTCCATTTGTTTTCACAGTGTAGTCAGCAGGTCAGAAGACTGCCCAAGAATCACCTAAATCAAATATGAAATGATGAGATAAAACCTTACGTGAACCGAGGGGCACAGAAAATTGCTCTGGATTTTCAGAACTTGAAAATTCCTTAAGTCATAGGAATAATTCTGATGATAATTTTAACGAATATTTTGGTTAGTTTCAGTGTTGAATGTTTCTGGCAGACATTTTTTACACCTCTAATATAGTTAGGTCTTTGACCCTCGGTATAGATTTTGGAAAAGAGCCCAAACGGAAAACCCGAAAGTGTTGGGAAATGAGGCGCTATTCCCTGACGTGACCCTCGAACCGAAGAAGGTCGTGCCGCTTGACACGTGTCCCCCTCTCCTTTGCAGACATGTCTTCTCCAACGACTATGAAGAAGCCTGAAAAACCATTGTTCAGCTCCACGTCTCCCCAGGATTCTTCCCCGAGACTCAGCACTTTCCCCCAGCACCACCATCCCGGAATCGCCGGAGTCGCGCACAGTGGTGAGCAGCGGTGACCTTTCCTGTCAGCGCAGGGGGAGGGTGACGACCTGATAAGAATGGTTTATGGCATTTATGACGGAGTGTTTTCCAAGTTGTGTACTTTAATAATATTTGTACATGCATTTTTAAATCCCTTTTACTGGAACAATTATAATAAAAAACTTAGTTGAATAATCTGATTGAAAAGATTATATTCAAGGGAAAAAAAGGATGCATAATTATCATGACTAATTTCAGGATTGGTCCGAATTCTTTATTCTTAGAGAAAGGCAAACTTTCGAGTGTATTGCTTAGTTTAGAGTTTTTCCAAAGGCGTTAGCATACACAGACACTATTTCTTTTAATGGTATTTTCTAGACATAACTCAGTACTTAGTTATTTGGGACTGAAATTAATCAGAAATAAAAGGAAGTACTTTTCTATGACAGCTGTTTTATGTGCACAAATCTTTTGGGGAAGTTCACTTGATTTACATCTAGTATCTTAATCTAACTGAGAAAATATTTTACATTTTAGCCAGCTATTAACCATAAGTCTTTCATAAGTTAAAACATTATATTCAATTAGTAATCAATATTGTCTACTTTCTACCTATTATTCTAAGTCCTAGAGAGGAATGGACTGAAAGTTTTATATATAAATTTATATATGTATTAAATTTATAATGATACTCTTAAAATTTATGATTAAGCTATTCATTTTCTTTCAAATTAATTGAATCCAATTTATAAATCTGTGCTAATAGGACGCAGTACCTGACAAAATAAAATCCTTAGGTTTAGTTTGTTTGTGTGTTGATATTTACTCTTGCTATATTGGAAAAAATATGCATGATCTTTATCATTAAAATTAAGGAAATTATAAAATTCAGAGAGGAATATGCAAAATAATGTGGAACAAGAATTTTTACATTTATTGTTTGTACTACTGAGATAAGTGAAAAAAAATCAGTAACTGTTTCATAGATTTACAACCTTACATATTTGGCCAAAATTGAATTAGAATTCCTATTGTCCATGTACTATGAAACTCGATTAAAAGTTTATACTTCTTACATTTGAAAAAAAATAAACATTATATCTTTATATGGTAAGAGACCTAGAATAAATATTCCCCCTTGATCTTTCATCAAACGTCTGTTAAGTGTCTGACACACGGGGCCTATGGTGACTACCTTAGCTAAGAAAGACAGTTTCTGCCCTTAGAGAGCACTTGATGTAGTAGGGAGCCAGCGAGCCACATAACTGGCTCCCATTCTTATTGGAGCAGGCCCGGATACTTGGAGGAGGATTGTATGCCTATAACAAAAAGTGTTCTGAGCTAAGTGTGAAGGGTGAGTTCACCAGAAGGAAAAGAATTTCAGGCAACAACTTGTATCAGTGCCAGAAAGATCAGTGCAGCAAGAATCACTGTATATCCAAGGGTGCACAGATTTCATAAGGTGGACAAAGAAATAGTCCCTGCCCGGGTTCTCAGGCCCCATGTGAGAGCCACGTGTGCTTGTGATGTTGCTGGGAATCTCCCATGAGACACTGGGAAACCATTAAAGATTTTGAGCAGTGAAGTTCTACAACTCCAGTGATATTTTGGAAGAAAGTCATTCATGTGGAATAGAACTATAAGAGATATATTGGAAGGAGCAGGACCGGAGGAAGGAAGATAATGAGGAGGCCTTCACAATACCATAGGCCAGAAATATATATTTATGTATGTATGTACTCTTTCAAAATGAGGCAAGCATTTGGATCTTGTATTTTTTTTCCTTTTTAAAGGACTAGAATGATTATTGATGAGATAGTCATTTTTACTTGCCATTTGAAGTATGTAATTCTACCATTTGTATGAGGCTGGCTACAACCCATGTAAGCAGAGTGTCAGTTTTCCCTCAGATATGAGCAGTGGATTTGAATCAATTCAGTTGAAAAGAGATTTCTTTCAGAGCTACTAAGGACAATTTGGTCCCCAAATCCCAAGAACCCAACAAAGAAAAAAAAAAATCCCAAGGATTTGTGCACAGATGTGAGCAAAGACCATAGTTAAATTGAGAGAAGATTTTGAGAAATTTTACTGAATTGTTCACGTTTCCTTAGCATATACTTCTGAGTGGACATATTTAAATAAAATACTTCCGGATAAGAAGTTTTGCCTTAAGAAGTGTGCAGTTATTCTCGGCAAGGCACTTGTAGAGGACGTACGCACTGCAGTCTGTGGAGATGCTGCATGGATCCTGACTTAGACACATTCTGGAGCCTAACTCCTGCTGTTCCTTGTCCAGTATGGCTGTGATTAGGCCCAGGAATCTATATTCTAAGACAATCCGGAGGATTCTAAGAAGCTGCATCCTGGAAATGCAGTTGAGACTGCAGAATTATAATTATGATTTCTCTGCTGTACACAGGCCAATATGTGATTTTCTGTGTATCCTAAAAATTTTCCTTATGCAAGATAATCAGCATCCCTTAAAAACCTTCTGAGTTCCTTTCCCACATCACTGTAAAGTTGAAGATAGTCATCCCATATAATTTTCATTTACAGGTCATGGAAAAATTATTTTTTCATAAGGTTTGATAAATTGTTTCATAAAACATTAAACATCATTGTAATTTTCTTTGATTTGGATTGAAATATTAAAAAGAAACTGACATTTAATTTTTACTCTTGCATATATTAGTTCTTATAATTTGTACTTATTTCCCTCAATCTTCTAGAGATAATAATCACATAAGTATATTAGTTCTCCATCTTTCAAACTTAAAAATTATGTTTCTAAACCTAAGTAATTCTAATCCTACTAATGTTGAAAAACTACATTAAACTTAAACATTATTCACATTGCATATGTTTTAGGTAGTTGTTCCCTCTAGAAATTAGTATAAAAGTATGATTTGTGAATAACAATCTACTCACTTATAAGAAAGTTAAAGTTTAGGTTTCTGTGAATTTTATTCATAGTCTTACCTTAGTGTCTTTGAAGCTACCTATAGTCAAAGACAGAGTAGAAAGAAAAATAGTTGTAGGATAAATAGTTTTGAAAGGAACATCATGGGTAAAGAATTCCCAGGTCCCATGTCTCAGTGTTCAGAAATATTTTTCCAATGACCAGGTAATTATTCATAAAGTAAAAGCTTTGTATATTAATTGTCGGCTTCTCCTGTAAACAGCTGCTGGTTAGGATGTATAGGGAAGTGATTTATGGAAATTAGATTACACGTCTGTTTTAAATCTTAGTAGAAAACATGTGGGTCTCCTGCCCTCTCATTCATGCTGATACTCGGTCTGGACTTAAGAGGACAGAAACCTTGTAATCAAAGAGCTTGTTTGATGGGAAATAAGTTTACCCAGAGAAGTGTTTTAGGCAGTATTGGCCTGACCTGTAGAAGCTGCACTTCTTTTTTCGGTCATGGATCTGGAAAGCGAGAGCATCCCTCCGAGGGATGCTTTGTGTCTCTGATTTTAGCAGGGAGGCACTGAGAACAGCAGTGAGGGGATAATTCACTTGTAGAGGTTGGCTAAATCATGGGAAAAACAAAAGAGCTACAGATTGTACGGCTTCACAGCATCCGTTAGAGCTGGAAAGAGGTGATGAGAAAAATCAGCTGACAAGTTGACCTTTCCTTTTCCGGTTCCACAGTCATCTCAACTCGAACTCCACCTCCGCCCTCTCCGCTGCCATTTCCAACACAAGCGATCCTTCCTCCAGCCCCATCGAGCTACTTTTCTCATCCAACAATCAGATACCCTCCCCACCTGAATCCTCAGGATACTCTGAAGAACTATGTACCTTCCTATGACCCATCCAGTCCGCAAACCAGCCAGGTAAAACACAGAGCCAACCAGATTGGTGTTTACGGGAGATGGGACAGGTGTGACCCCGAGACGTGGCGGGCAGCCAGCCCGTCTGTCCGGCAGGACATCCAGCCTTGCAGTCCATTCCTGGGAAGTTTCTTGGTGATTCAGTAAGTTTTTATTTAAAGGCGGATGAATGACAGGTAGGAAGTGTATTGTCCCAAAGGAGCACATTTGTGAAGATGCTTTTGGTTTAATGTTTTTGAATTTTCACTGACTGAAGGGAAAGTTTATGCAGAAAGTTCATTGCCAAAAAAGTTCTGAGCTGGAATTCACACCTCTGCAATACCTGGTTTGACACAGGGACAAAATGATTATTTTGGGCAGGAGCGAGGTACGTGATAAACACACACAAAAGAACTTAATGGTTGTATTTATAGGCCAGTTATTAGGTATTAAAATTAGCTCTGATAATGTAAACATTTTCAGTGTTTGGTAACTGCTTGAATATTCTCTGCAGAGGCAGGACTTAACATTTAATAATGAGTGACATCACTAACAGCGTCTTCTTTTTGAAAAACATTGTGCAGTGGTTTTATGGAGTGATTGTATAAGCTTGGTGATTCATGTGTATTTCTCATTCCCTAGACATGTGGTTTATCCCATAGGGAGGTCGCTTAGGGATTCGGTACGAAAGGCTTTCCCACCTTCAGGTAGACAGTCTTATGCCAGTGCTGGGTCTACTGGAGTTAGAACATCCAGACTCTGCGATGGGATTTTGATCTCTTGGCTTTGCTGCTTTGCCTGCAAGACTCTTGTCCACTTCTTATTAAAGTTTTAGTGCTGGTGTCGGGGGGCGGGTCACAACAGCGAACATCGCTTCTGTTGAGTTACTAAAAGTAGAGTGAATACTATATAGATGCCATACCTAATTAACAAAGGTAGGTCAGAAAAAAAACCCTTCTGGTCTTAATTTGTTAAAGTGAAGCGAAATAATCCTTGCTAAATATTTATTTTGAATCAGAGAAAATGGTCCTTTTTGAATAACAGCTGAATTTAGCACCCTTTAAGTTACGTTTTACCTTTATTTTTAGCTCCGCTAACTAATATACTAGACATGGAATTCTAAAGTTAAACTTACTTTTTGTACTTAAGATGTACACATAGTGTAACGACTGCGCTGCTAATGACAACTAAGTGAGGAAATAGGCTCTTGATAGACCAGTTTAGCCTTGAAACTGCTGGCAGAGCATGGATTCACAACTCTTCGTTCTATAGAGCATTTGCTAGACTCAGCTGGGAACAGTGCACACAAGGTCTGATTTTAATTTGTGTAGAATTTCCATGAATAACAAAGTCTAATTAAGACATCCATTAAAAGTCCTTAACGTTAATTCAGTGTGGAAAATCTTAGAGTTCCATTGGATTTTTTTTTTAAACTGATGTCTTAATTAGGCACTGTTAGGGGAAAAATTATGCAAATTAAAATCAGGCCCTTAGTGTTACGCATTTCTTTAATTATTCAGTGCTTGTTTTACGTATATTTCAATTTCTTTATAAGAGGGCATATTAGGTGATAATCTGCCTATATTGTTTTCCTTATGTTTATATATTCTCAGGATTTCCTTACATTTTCAAGGTGAAGATCCAGTTTCTAAGAGAAACATCTTACTCTCACCTCAATTAAAAGATATGCACACACACAAAAAAAATCCTCTCAGGATTTTGTATAATAAGAGCATTGTACTAAGGAGGATAATCCTTTCCTGATGCTGTTTAGCTTCATCTTCAGATAAAACCCTCCTTTTCATATGTACAGTATAAAAGTCCATCTATTAGCAGACTTAAAAGATAAGAGGATTTAGCTTAGCTCCACCTGTTTACACTAGTAGAAAACTAAGGGATATTACTGTCCTGGTCTTTTGGTAATGCGTTTCAGGAAAGTTTTCTGTGTTGGTTTGGGAATTCTTTCTTTGCCCCTGTGTTACTTGTAAATGGAAGAATCATCTCTCAGTTCCTGTTGGGTCAACTCTAGGAGACAGAGCTTGTGCACTGGCAGGGTAACACCGTATTCAGTGGTGGCATTTCCTTCAACTCAGGCCATTCTGTTCCCCTCCTGGGTTAGTACTATCAACCGTTTTGCTGAACCCTACACAGAAACACTTTTAATACTGAATGCACCACCAGTGATCAAATAAGACTTTTTACCCAGTAAGATGTACAGAGCAGTCATTTTGCAAAGTTCAAATAACTGGAGTTTGGTGATTTGCTTTGGAAATAAACAATTATTTCCCCTTGAAATGAAAATAGGTCTTTATAGTAAACTGTAGATGTGTTGGTTTAGGAACATTGTATCAACTTTCATGTTTTACTCCAACTCAGAACCAATTAGTCTGCATTTCAAAATAGAACTCTTGATATTCACCTTTTCTGCACTATAAATGGAAAAAAATGAGTACTTGATGACCATTCAACTGCAGTCAACTGCTCCTTCCCAACCTCCTTCAGCACCGCACTGATTTTGATTGTTAGGCAACTGAGATGCCTTTTCCTCCCCACAGCAATTTGGGGATTAATTGCATTACTGCGGCACCAATTATAGTGAGACAGCCTTGCTATTCAATGGAATATTTTGAATGAAATTGGTTTAAAGATATAACTCTCCCATAGGTTTCCATAGAGAAAAACTCTGGTCAGTATTCCTGACATAAGTTAAATATTTAAAATTACCCATGATGAATAGTCAGGATATTCAAGAAGCCCATTTTCTTTGTAAAATAAAGCACATGGGCTCCAAGGAATCCAACCAAAGACTTGGTCACATTGTTTAAATGTCTCTAGCTCTTTATCTTTTTTTTCCTCAAGAAATGTATATGTGTAATTTATGTACAGATATTTAGATATATATTCTGCTTCATGCTTTCTTTATCTTTAATAGTTGAGATTGTAAAGACAATGTATTTGTGGAGAAGGAACTCCTAGCAAATAGTTATGAACACTGGGCAGTAGAGAATTGCAACATCAATATCATCAAAAATAGCATTCTCTGTCTAGAGGAATGCATTCCGATGTCTCTTCAGTGCACCCTTAGGATTTTATCTCCTAGCTAAAGACACTATTTTTCCACCAAGGGGCTAAAACTCAGATAAAAATATCTTTTCTGCCAAAGCCCAGGGAATTTTCTCAGTTAATTCCCACAAATGTCAACAATAAATGTTTTTGTATCATTCTCCATGCACAACAATGAAAGAATTACTCAGAAAGCAATGTACATTTAGTTGTCCTCTAGTTCACCTCAGTTTATTTTATCATCTTGTGCATCTGAAAGTTTCGATGCTTTGAATCTCATTCTGTCTGCCGTATTAGTAAAGCATCCACAATGGAGTGGAGGCCGTAGAGTCTAAATTGCCTTGTGTGTGTGCCTGAGACACCTGTGCGTGTAAGAGAAAGCTGGAGTTTTTATATGCAGGCCAGTCGGCCCTGACTATTAATGATGGGAACTATGGAGTTGGATGTGTTTCTTCTATACATGCTTGGGTCTCTTGTGTCAGTAATTTCATCATTTAGGAGGAAAGCCACACTCACTCTGTGTAGAAAATGAAGAGTGGGAAGTGAGGAAGGGTCAGGTGGTGTCTGTAGACAGCTCAGGAAGGAGGCCCATTTTATTTTGAGCTGGGCACTTGAATCCTTGCTCAAGTTCTCCGGCCTATTGAATGAAGGGATCAAGTCTTCGTGGTGCACTGGGGGTGTTTTAAACACTAAGCAATCTACACAAAGTGCTCTTGTAGGTGAGAACCTCCCCCCCGAACACTGTTGCTTTCTGTTACTACTGACCATCGGTTGGCCATCACCCCAGACTGGACCAGGTCTGTGCGGCGGTGCCACGAGGTACGCAGGGTCGATGCGGCCGCGTGTGCTGCGTGGAGTTGTTGAGCACGACGACCGCCTTCTGGGTTGCTTCACCTGGCATTCTGTTTTTGTTTTGTAGCCTAACAGCAGTGGTCAAGTGGTAGGGAAAGTGCCTGGCCATTTCACTCCTGTCTTGGCACCCTCTCCCCATCCCAGTGCAGTGCGACCTGTGACCCTGAGCATGACAGATACTAAGCCCATCACTACATCCACTGAAGGTGAGGCAGCTTCACCTACAGCGACCAGTAAGTATCTGGGTAGGAAATGAGAAATGTCCATCCGAGGACCATTGGCTGTCTGGTCCAAGGTGGAAGGGAAATGTGGCAGCTTTTCCAGCTACCTACCCGATGGAGATTTCTCATTTAAGTGGAGCTAGCAGGCGTGTATGTGGCCTTGCTGTAACATGCTCTCTCTTATCAAATTCCTGTCAGTGCATCCTATTTGAAAAGGGAGAAGCATATTTGTTTGAGGAAACTGCTATAACAAAAATAATAACTCATGCCTGCTCGTTCAAGGTATACATTGAAATTGCACTGAATAACATCCTGTAGCATACAAGGTTTTATATCATCAAAAGAGAGATTACATAACTGTTATTGGAACATTCCCATAGAACTCCGGCCCTCCACTGGACAGACTGAACTGGCCTCTAAGATAGTTGCATGTTACCTTACTGTAGGTTATGTCATTGCTAGAAACAGCCACACAATGTCGGGTGCAAGTGAGAACATTTCAGAGCTTAGCACTGGGCACACGGAAGGTACCTGCACTTTCATTATCTGCACCTTTTCCTTTAAACTTTCTGATTATTTTGCCTATCATGGTACATCAGACCCTATGCTTATTAGCATGGCCATAACATTTTACACATCAGAGATTTAGCTAGTGTGTTCACAGCACATACTAATAAGCCAAACAATTACTTTGCTTTTTCATATAGAATAGTCAGAAATGGGCAAGGAATACATTTTCGGTTAGCTTCACCCAAACTACGAGCATCATAGAACTGGAACCATATAAAGAATGGCAAGGGAGATAGATAAGTTCTCATCTGGAGGAATTTAGCATGCACATCCACAGTTATACACACGTCTTAATTTCAACCCTTTTTAAAAAATTTCGTAGAGCAAGGAAATCATTATGCTCTGGAAATTCCCATGTGAAATTGCATGATCAGGGCACCACTGACTTACTCTTTTTTGATGAGTTAAGAACTAGGAAGAAGCTCTGCAAGAAAAACAGACAGTACTTTAACTGTACAGTGAATATTCAGCATTTTTTCTCAAGATTTTCAGCCCCTTTAAACTACTAAATCAAGAGAGGCTTGTGATAGCCATCAGTAATCATTAACACTTAGGAATTGGTTTTCCGGCAGAAGCTCACAACAGTAGCAGATGTTTTCCTGAATGCATAGGTACATAAGATCTGGTCAGAGAAAACCAAAACTTCTTTTAACAGTTTGCTGCATACATGAGAGTCACTGAAACAATAACAAATTCACAAAGTGACGATCATGGCGTCTTTGAGCAAGCAAATACACGAAAGCACAGAAAATAAGATTTTAAAAAGTAATTGGAAGACTGTTGTAGTTAAGTGATCAAAATAAGTTCTAGAAATGTTTGCTGCCTGCTAGCATGGTGACCTTGATATTTAAGATTCAGGGCAGGATCAGACCCACGTAGTCACAGTTTATTCACAGGAGTACCTTCAGCCTGTTTGTTAATGAATTGTTTTTATACTCACAGGTTGCTCAAAGGGATCTGGTTTGACTAGTAAAATTACAAAATATTCAAAAGGAGTATGTTGATTGTATAGAGATGGCTGCATCGGTCCATTCTCTACTCATATATAAATATAGTGAGTAGTTCTTCTTCGCTATAAACAGACTCACAGCACCAGCTCCTTAAGCACCAGTGAGAATGAGAAATTGGTCATTGAGTTGATAGTAAAGTTAGAACTCAGAGGCCAAGGAAGCCTCCTTTCGTAGTTGAAAAGAAAGAGCAGCACAAACTTGGTGCTCTCTAAGGGTGACGTTCTTCAGGTCAAAGCCCAGGTGTTGGATTCTGGAGCCTGGGACGGGTGGAATGGGGCTGGCGTTCCTGGTGGCTGCCCTTGCACTGGGTTGTATTCAGGCATAATGAAAAGATGACTTGTGAGCATCTTCACTGTTTTTTATAAGTTGGACCTAAAAACTCCTTAATGATCAAATTCTGCTGTCCTTTAAATGAACATGGCAGAATTAATATATTGATTTTTAAAAGCCAACCCATTTAAAATCCATGCCTGAATTTCTCATTAATCCGATTCTCCAAATGTGTATCTTCAAACCTATAAATGCAATGATGCATAGCTAAAAAGTGAGTTCTTTTGCTTGGAATTGCTTGGTGCTAGGAAAATACATTAATCCTTTTCCTATAAAAAGAAGCAAAACTCTTTAGGAAGAAGAATAATGATCCTGTGGAAAATTCGCTTTATACCGAAAGCCACTTGTACAGGAAGTACTCGCCCATGAGACCCAGACCGTGTCAGCAGTCCTTGTACCCTATGTAGTCACTACCTACTGACCTAGTATTTCAAGTGACTTCACAGTCATCCCCCAGAAATTGATATTTTACACTTATAGACAATAAAGATTTTTTTTCAAAAATGTTTCTATCAAATGAGGGCATTTTTGCATTGTAGAGTTCCAAGCTTATTCATTCTATGTAGTACCACAAAAATAGACTCCTTCAGGACAGTAATACTGGATTTTCTCTTTAGGAAGACTTCCATCTCATATCATCAGTCCTGTCTACTTAAGTCCTGTCATTCGAAGCTGTCATTTTTTTTCCCAACAATCTTGCAGCCTGCTTACATTCAGAAACACAGATGCTCATTCACGATTGCATTGTTAGACCACAAGTATCCAGTCAGAAGTGACGAGCAGGACAAGGACTCTTCTGTGTCACCGGTCCACGGTGCCCTGCAGGACTGAGATTGGCACACAGAAGAGTAAAAGCACTGATGCCAAAGGATGGGATGGGATGTGCGAGGTAGATCTTCTAGGGGGATTGACACATTGATTTGAAGTCAGTGGCCATTTCTTCTCTGTGACTTGGTATTCACTGGAACAAGAGAGAAGAGAAATGCAGACACTTTCTCGGTTGCCAGTCCCACTTCTCTGGGTTTCTTATTCATGGACAGGGTGTTCATTCTGATAGTTCAAAATTTTTATCTTTGTTTTTGTTCTTCCTTGATCAGCCTACACAGCCTCAGGCACATCTCAAGCCAGTCGATATGTGGGACTAAGTCCAAGAGACCCATCCTTCCTACATCAGCAACAGGTGGGCAAGTTTCCCCCAGGTGTAATGGTGTAGCTGCGCTTGCTTTGGTGCTTTTCTCCATGTCGCCTCTCAGATCTGGACTCAAAATGGGGCTCAAGGGGCTTCTGAGACCGAAATTGATCATTTCGTTTTCCAAATTTTTTTCTCGTTTACTCTTTGTTTCTCATCTCTGAACAGTTTCTCAAATCGGCTCCCAGTCTCTCCCACCTGCGTAGCATGTATTGATAACACAGACAAACGTTCCTGGGCTCCAGCCAGTGTTTTTCTCAGTCCTTCGGCTGTTGAGAACTTACCAGCACATAGCTTTCAAAGGCGAGCATTGAAAACCAATTTAAAAGCCAATTAGAGCAGAAGCAGTACATTTGTGTTTTTGAGCAATTTCATATTTTCCAGATGTTTTGGTCCTCACTTTTGTAGTTTAGTCCAGGAAGATGAGTTATGAAGCTAAAATCTCAGGCATCACATCATTCCTATTTTAATAGGTTTAGATTGCTTTAGTGATTTGGAATGTGATAAAACACTTTTTTTCAGTTCTGCTTTCTTACATCATTTATGTTTCAAGTAGCATTTTAAATTTCACATCTCATTAATGCTGTAAATTTAATGCAAATGAAGTGTTTACCCAAACTGTGAAAATATACAGCCAGGATTAATGGTAGTTTATAAACAAATTAGCCACAGTCAAAAGCATGGACCATAGCAATATAGAAATTCCTCAATTCTAGTTATAGCATAACCAAAAAAAATTCCGAACACTTCAGAATTTAAATATATTTTATGATGCATATGCTTATGCTTACTGCTCTCAACACTTGACAACAGAACAGTTTGAAATTAACAGTACATAAAATATTACATAGGGCAAAATTGTCCATAACAAGAAAGAGATGGCATTAACTAACTCACTCTTCACTTAGAAGTCCTCCCCGCACACACGTGTGACTTTCTGTGCATGGTGCAAGCCTGCACACGGTTCTGCCCACTCTTTTATTCCGGGCTGGTCCACCTCCTTCACACTCACGGGGCCTGTCTTAGCTGTGCTACCGTGGCATTCTTGGGTCCCTCCTGTTGGCCTACCAAGGTGGTAGGCTGTGTATATTAAAGGTCACCACATGCAGAGTTCAGAGAAAATCATGAAGATGATAGCTTATTCAGGCTACTTGACGTTTTGCCAGGTTTAAAAAAAGCAAAGCAAAACAAAACAAAAGAGTGAGAACTAACTGAAAACATCTGTATACAGTTATGAAAATACCAAATAATAATTAGTGGTTTTGCCAACCATTGCCTTTTCAACATAATTCTCTGGAATGTTGCTTTTTTTCACCTCTAAAATTGCTGTAATATGAAATGTGTTATAATTACTATAATATGGTTGTGTTTGACAAATGTGTGTGTTCGTTGTGTTTTTTAAACATATACAGGATTTATAGGCTTAGAAACTTGTTCTTTTAAAATCATTGCACATAATTTCAAAAATATTTTTGTCATGGGATTTGCATTATTTTTTATGATACATTCCTAATTTCTAGTTAATTTTTAATTCATTGAAACATACCTCTATTATTTAAGTCATTAGCCCCAAACATACTTAGAATGTTGTAACCAGTTCCATACGTTTAGAAGCAGTTTTTCTCTCTACCTGCTCTAATCTATAACATCTTTAATTTTTTTAATCACTTATGACTAATGTTGGGGCCTCATATAATTATGATCCCAAAAATCATTAAACACTTACTTTTCCCTTTGCATATTTAAAAAGAAAGAAAGAAAATTAGCAGAGCATACTGAAAATATGAGTAAACCAAGTTGAGAGCTAGGCATATTTTAATTAAAAAAATATATGTGACTTCTGGAACTGTAAATTTTTTCATTGAAGATTACTGCTTGTTGTTTATGAGGACAGTGGTGAGTGAAGCCCACTTAGACTGTGAACATATTTTGTTGTCAGTGAAGTTAGCTTTTATAGAATACGTGATGTATATTGATTCTTGGAAGAGAAAAACCATATATGCTCCATAGTTTAAAAATTTTAAATACTATAAAGGTAGATCGTTCGTCCTCTGTTTAATGAGTATATGCCAGTTTTTATTTGAAGAAGCCCACTAGGCCAAATTCATGATGAACTAAAAATTTGAAGCACGTGTAAAATAAACATCAATGCAGATATTAGGTTTATAAATATATGACTAAACTAAGGCTTCAGTTAAAAACCTGTTATTTTTATCCTTTCAGATTTTGAAAGACTCAGAAAGATGAAGTTTTTTGCTTACTATCTAGAAACAGAGACAGAAATAGTTTAAATGACTTCAGTAAAGGTTATTCTTTCCTACAGCAGAAATGAGATTGATTTACTGTGTCCTTTCATTACTTTACAAAGATTTAAAAGAGACCACTCTTCTAGCGGCAGGTTCTAAATGCATTTGGTTTAAAGCACTCAATGATGAATGAAAAGGAAAATCGAGGCTTACATGAAATAAAGGTAATCAATCATTTTATATTAGCTAGGAGAAATTTAAAATTAGAAAGGCAATGGTTTTAGCTTGAGAGAGTTCTTTTAAACATTCCCCATAACCTTTAATATACATGACCCCTTAAGAATAAATATTGTCACCAGGTACATTTTTCCATTCATGGTGGTTGCTTTATAAAGATTTATCCTCTTAGGTTATGAAAAGTATTGATGTGCATTGTTGAGTGCTATTTTTTTCTTTATAAAAGAACTTTAGTATAACTTACATAAATTAGAATTAGCAATACATTTTGAATTATTCAATAATTTTTACTGTCTTATAAGTAATCTTTTCACAAAATGACATGACAGTGGAGCTTTTAGTATACTCATTTCTTTTTTTTTTTTTTTGGTACCGGAGATTGAACTCAGGTTTGTGAGCTTTCGAGGCAGCTGCCAGAACCATTGAGCTAAATCTCTGGTCCTCGATATACTCATTTCTAACATGCAAGTATATTTGCATTGTTTAATTGAGATAGAGAATATTAAAATAATAAAATTAACCCTGTACTGTACCTATAAAAGTGATACCTTCAGATTTACAAATATAAACCATAAAAGCATGTGGTTTTACACTCATTAACATGGTACTCACACTGTTATTAGTAATTATAAATTTATGTGTTTCTTTTTATAATGGTTATTACTGATTAGTGCTGGCTGCCAACTGCCTTGAAATAGTTTTTTTGACCTTGGAATTTTACCTATCATTGCAAATATGACATCTCAATTAAATCTAACATTAAATAATTATGTTGACTATTTGAAAAAGATCCACGTCGCTCAGTAAATAATTTGCCATTACAAACAGCCCTTCTGATTAGTCATAATAGTCAGCTCATGCCAGCTGAGGAGGACTCGGTTTCACAACTGCTCTCACTTAACACAACCTTGAGTGTGCCGAAGGTCTGCAGCTGGACTGCCTTCGAGGCAACTGATGGGCTCAGTGAACGCATTTGCTGCTGGCCTGGGGAAGTTGTAGAATCGGAGCTTCCGTTACCGTGTCGTTCTTCTTTAGCTCTTCTCCTGGGAATGCCGTGGTGGCTTGAAGAACCCACGTGTTCTGCTTTGGCAGATGGAGCTCTTTTGGCCTCCACTGAGAAGTGCCGCTAAACGGTTCGGATGTCCACAGTTTGGAAGACCTCTCCTACTTATATCTGCAGAGACGTAGGGAGGCGTTTCCCTTCCTGCGTCACCCTTCGCAGACCTGCAGTGCACACCCCTCAGCATGAACAGCGAAGGAACAACATTTCCCGGGTGTTACCTGCTGGAGAGAATGGGGACTATTTGCAGAGTGTTGGATATTGCTTAGGAATCACAGAAGTCATGTTATAGTCAGCCTAATAACGTTAGTGTAAATGGGTAATGTGGAACAGCTTGTGTAACTTAGCACCCATTCTTTCTTTGTGTGGTCGATCTTTTAACAGATTTGCCAGTTTGAGGCCTCTTTTATTTTGGCCATCATAGAAAGTTTGATAATATGAGAGCCTCTAGTTGAATTGCTCATCACTATTACAGCTGAGATTAAGGTCATATTAAAAGTATAAATCCTTATTACTACCCCATTAATACAGTAGGTTATAGGAACTATTGCAAATAGGAAATAAAAGCTTGCATTTAAGACACTTCTTGTTTAGAAGTAAGGATCACCATCCAGCCACTGAAGTGCATGTTAATTTTTGATATAGATTTCAGATTTGGAGCGGAATAAATGGGAAGTCACTTTTACCTCCCCTGAAGTAAGCTCTAGTTTGTAAGAAATGCAACCTGTTTTCACAATCGCAAAATGACAGTCTCTTGACCATGTATCTGCCTTTTACCAGAGCTTCTGAAGAGCGGCCTGACCGATTCCGGTCCTTGCCTTACTCCTCCAAGTGGCATACATTTTACTGATGCTTGAACTTCAGCATGTTACGTCTCCCGAATGGCTGTGAATACTGTTATTTCACGTGCAATTACTAGGCTAGGTTTTGCTCAAATATTTTTGACACTTTTCCTCATATAATTTAAAGCTTGAATTTGAAAGTGCTCTTAATTACACTGAAATTTTTCATTATGCGAAATTGCCTTTTAAAGAAATCTGTAGGATTTCTTTTTTTAAACAGAGGTATGAGTTGGAATCCCTTTAGGATTTGCCCTGGCAAATGGCAAAGCTAGAGCTTGGTACAAGGTAGTCATTTGTTAGAGGCAGGCGATTAATGGGACACAAGTGGACTATCAACAAACTTCTCAATAAAGTCAGGAAGCAGGCCATCAACACTTGGGCCATTCTTATTGTGTCTGTTATCATAACTGACAGTTTGACGCAAAAACCCCATCACGTGACTTCTGGGTAGGTTTGTAAATGGAGAAGAGGTCACTTTTCACATCTGCTAGCTGGGAAGGAAACAAATGTGAAGGAAGTTTCAGTCAGAATAATAGCTATACACATGTTTAGCTTTTTGGCTGGTTCTTAAATTTTAAAAGTATCCCTCCATTGTCTTCTTTTATC